AAAAAAAACGACCTATATATATACACACTACGAAGACCAAACACTAAAAACTCTTCACATGTTGTTAAACCTGATTAATAGTCATGTGGGCACACGTGTGTTTGCGGTATGACACTCTCTGCTCCAACTTCTCTCTGCTGTCTGTTCCTTTTCCGGCATGTCTGTCTTCACTGGTTGCACAACAACAGGGCTGCACTTCCTCTATTTGCTCAAACAGCCGGGCACTCTGCCTCCATGTCACCCTCAGCCCACCAGACCAGTGATCACCATGGTAATGGCACTGCAGCACCGGGTGAAATATCACCTATCTCTCTCTGACCCTCAGCTATCACAAGGTAAACACTGAAATGTCACTGGCCCTCCGAAGGTCACATGGTGCACGCTGGGAACAGAGTCAGTCCTCAGGTTAGGTGCTGCCAGTGAGTCAGATTGGAGGGAAAATGCTAAATGGTCATTTACATTCAGGATCAAAACGCATAGCATTAAAACAGGGACTCATCACTGTGGGCCGTTTTCTAAAAATGAACAGTTAAAAGGCTCTGAATGAACTATACAAAGAAACAGGTCTGGTTGCTACCAGCAAAATGTACAATTAGAACAATTAGAGCTCAGATAATATTGTAATAAAAAATCATGAGGATAGCTGTTATATGGTACATTATTTTAATAATAATGGAAACAAATGCATGCAGAAAAAAAAACACCCTTTGTTTTCATTATTTGTATAGTGCCATAAACAGCAGTTTATCATGTGTATCAAGATGGCGGTATTTTGTGATTATTTGCAATCTAAGTGTTACTAAATCCTACACACTGGTCCTTTAAATGTTCACTCTTTTACACTTGTTTTTACCTGAGTTGGTAATACTAGCATTAGCTGATTCTGACTTGCTCCCAGACTTGGATTTTCACCCAGTAACTGTAATTTGTTGTATTAATACGTGAAGTTTAGGCACATCGAGTTCTCCTTATGGTCCAGCAAACAGTAATCAATACAAGTGTGTTGTGAAAACAAAGAGTAGACTAAACTGTTCTGTTGCCACATGAATCTCTTATGATCGCTATTATATGTTTTTTCCAGCACCATTAACACTGTAAATAGACAGAGAGGGAGAGCAGAATGAAGTACATAACAGATTTAAACAAATACAGCCACAACAGATGCAAAACAGCAATTTTCAGTCCACGTGTGGTCATACGACCATGTGGTCTTCAGAATCAGATGCCAAAAACCACATTGAAATTATATGTCGCTGTAGCCATGGGTTGTACAAAGAGCTGCAGCTTATTAACAGTGAAACTGGCCTAATATTTAGCATAAGGGTAGGCTTTGAATCAGTGTGCAACTTGTGAGGGCTTCTCCATGTGACCAGTCACCCTCAGGACACACACACACACACACACAATGCAGTTAAACCGTGTAACCCCCCCACCACCACTGCTGCTGAATGCAGTCTGCCAAATAGCAGAAATACCAGGGGTCTCCACGGGATCAACACACACATATACACACACACACACACACATACACACACAAACACACCCCACATTGCTTAGAGCACCATCAACGCCTTGCTGTACAGAGAAACAGCCACACACACACACATTCAGACACACAAAAAACACACACATAACCGGAAAATAGCTGAAATTCCAGCGTGGCACCCGGACTGAGCAGCAGCAGATGCAGGGAGACTGTTAAATACACAGATGTTGAAGGAAGAGAAAAGAGAGTGGGAGAAGATCCGAAAGAGAAATGAAAAGCAAAGATTGAACACATGTCAGTCAGTGAATTGTATTTTTTTATTGCTTTATGACATCTTGATAGATTATGACGATGACAGACCTGCTGCAGCAGCTGCAGTAGCTGACCTGGTCACCTACATGTTTTATTCTCTGTCCTTTGCCCTCCCTTCTCTTCTGCTCTTCTTCCCTCCCCCCAACATGCAACACAGGGAAGCACACGCTCTGCAACTGTCTCAGTATTGATCTAAGCTGGAGGGTGTGTGTGTGTGTGTGTCTGTGTGTCTGTGTGTGTGTGTTGGGGGTAGGTCCTCTTGGTTGGAATTGGGTTTCGTTTAGAGGCCCTATCGACCTTGTAGTCTGTGCGCGTTTGACAGAGAGAGAGAGCATGGATGTGGGTTTGCCCCTAGCGGAGAAATTAATGTTTCTGGAAAAGCATGCAATGCAAAAGAAAAGAGAACAAGAACAATGCAGGGGGAAAAAAAGAGGAAGGTGGCAGTAGAGAGGGGGTCGTAGTTTACAGGAAGTCCGAGAGAGAAGATGAGCATAAGAGGAAAGAGTCCAGTCCTTCTCAACAGTTTCTGTAATCTTGGAAAATCCAGTCTATGATAAAAGTCGGTCAGTGTTTCCTCTACAGCAAAGGGATCATACTGTAGTAAAATCTAATGATAAATATCAAAGCAGGTAATAAGAGAAACAGTTTCTCCTAATTATAAATATATTAATTCTTTTAGCAATTCATTTTAGCAACAAGCTAACAAGCTGTAAAACAAATGCTGTGCCTTTGTAATCTTTACTAAATGATACATTAGACTTCTAAGATAAGAGATGTTGCTGCTGCACTATTATTGATTTTTGATTTTGCTCACTGGTGGATGAATTCACATCAAGACTAGTGTTGTGACAAACATAACATTGTATTTAATGCTATGATATAGATAGACATGACAAAGAGTAAAGCTATATGTAATAAATTGGGATTTTGGCCTAATGAAATATCTATTTATACAAGAATAGCTTTAGTGGCACAAGCTGAAAAACAACCCAAAACACTACGGGTGCTTTCCATTTCATGCGTTTCCTCGATTTATCATCACTTCTTCTTTAGCATCTGTTCCTTGCATATTGGCTCTTGGGGATGCAAGTAAGAGATGCATGGAAGGATTAGTAATGGTGTCTAGTGAAGGGCCCATCTTCGTTTCGATCCCACACCACAGGTTTGAAGAGTAAGCAATTATTGATGACGCACAGCTTTCCCACAAATCATGACACACTTGCAGCAACTTGTGTCTCCACTGATTGCAAAAAAAAAACAAAAAACCACAGTATTGCAGTAATGATGTATTAACGATATTGCAGGAATCACAGAGCCCTACAGCCCCTTCAAATCAACAGTAATGTTCAATAATTAAACACATGTCCATCGAAATGATGTTGTCAACTGGTTTCACTTCTGTATAGGTCATAGCTGTGTGTTCTTGCTCAAAGCTCGTCACTCCTCCAATACCCATTTAATGTATTAAACTATCCTCAGTGATGGCAGATCTCGGTGACAGGCTAAAAGACAGAGGAGCAAGGATGCACGGAGAGATAATTAGCTAAATGGATAGCATCCTCTGCCTCCATTTATCTGTGGTAGCTCTACTGAATTTGTGGCTGTGTGTGTGTGTGTGTGTGTGTGTGTGTGTGCATGTGGTTCAGGGTTAGCTAGCAGTTCAGTGAATCTTTCCCCACGGGGAAACAGACTGCTCGCTCTCATCAAAAACTGCCAGATAAATTACACAAGAACACGAGAGAGAGAGAATCCCAGTTTGGGCAAGGTTACACACACAGCAAGACACTGCAAAATAGTCAGAGCACAAAATCACCACCTGGCCATTTCTGGCAAACT